GCACACACACATGTACACATGTCCACAGACATATAGACATACCTAGACATATACACACATACACACACACACACACACAAGGCCTCATGACAGGACCCAGCCCGCATACCAGGGGCAGAGCACCTGGGCTTTGGGTCTGGGCCTGGCTTGGTTGCCAGGTGGTCACTCTGGGACCAAATGACAGGATTTCCACGTCAGCCTTCACACATGGGAGCTGCTCCGGGCAGCACCAATGGACCAGCGCTGACTGGGAAGTACCATACAGCTTCATCTCAGGGATGGGCCTGATGCCGCATCAGTCATTTACTGGCTGTGACGCTGACTTGTTTTCCAAATCCTAGCCTGAATTCACTGATAACGCTGCCATGTTGTTTCTAGGGTGAAAAAGGTTCTGATGGGCCTATTGGCCCCCAAGGACTACAAGGTCTGTCTATCAAAGGGGACAAGGTATGTGCCTACTCAGATCGAATGTCAGAGAAAGCTGTTCTGAATGAATGAGTGAGTGAATGAATGAATGAGTGAGTGAGTGAATGAGTGAGTGAGTGAGTGAGTGAATGTGTGAGTGAGTGAGTGAGCGAGTGAATGAATGAGTGAGTGAATGAATGAATGAGTGAATGAGTGAGTGAGTGAGTGAATGAGTGAGTGAATGAATGAATGAGTGAGTGAGTGAATGTGTGAGTGAATGAGTGAGTGAGTGAGTGAATGAATGAGTGAGTAAATGAGTGAGTGAGTGAATGAATGAGTGAGTGAGTGAATAAATGAGTGAGTGAATGAGTGAGTGAGTGAATGAGTGAGTGAGTGAGTGAATGAATGAGTTAGTGAGTGAATGAATGAGTGAGTGAATGAGTGAATGAGTGAGTGAGTGAGTGAATGAGTGAGTGAGTGAGTGAATGAGTGAGTGAGTGAATGAGTGAGTGAGTGAATGAGTGAGTGAGTGAGTGAGTGAATGAATGAATGAATGAGTGAATGAGTGAGTGAGTGAGTGAATGAATGAGTAAATGAGTGAGTGAGTGAATGAATGAATGAGTGAGTGAGTGAATAAATGAGTGA